CAAAATGAAAATGTTCTTTAGACCTACGTAACTGTTTTGAACAGGATTCACTTTCACAACAAACAACTTACTTGTTTCAATGGTGACTTGCCCACGTCACCATTCACAAGTGGTGGAGATATAGGTACAGGAGGTGCAGGTTGTGACAATGGACCATTAGGCAGAGTCATTGGTGGAGGGGGCGGTGGTGGAGGAGGGGGAGGAATGTTGCATGGAGGAGAGGTGGAACGCTGTTGGGCTGTGAGGGTTGGTGGTGGAGATGGTGCAGTCTGCTGCTGATCTGGAGTAGGGGGCGGAGGGGGCAAGTCTGTCTGAGGCTGCTGTTGAGGTTCAGGAGTATTATCTCTGCTCAAAGACTGATAATGTGGAGTGTTGTGATTTGAGGGTGGGGTAGGTGTCGAATGGGTTGAGGCAGGAAGAGGACTTCCCGATCGACTGCCACTCCTACTCCTGGCTCGTAGATGGGAAGGCAATGGTCCATTTATGCCAGGTGGGGAACCAACAGTTTCAACAGGTGGAGGAGGTGGTGGAGGCAGGGTTTCCCTTCCAGCGCTCATGCTCCGTCCTCGAGTTGGTGTATTTGTGGTAGATGATACAGTTGGTGTACTGAAAGAGAAGATTTCATGTCAAACAAAACACAATTAAACACAGGTTTCTTTCTTTTATCAAAATATTATTATTACCACAATTTACATAACTGTGAAGTAAAATTTATGCTACACAAGAAACAATGCCTGTAGTGTAATTAAAGATGATTAAATGTACAACCCAAATGAAAAAGAAGACTGATACAAACAGCTTGCACTAAATTACTCTACAGCGTTGTGAAACCACTTTCTTTAAAACAGTATAAACTAAACTGACTACTGTCACTGATAACAAATGGTTCTGATAAGCTTCCAAAATCTCCCTGGCAACTGTTCCCTTGGATATCACTATTCAACTATGAGTTGCAAATGAGCCAAATTCTTGGCGACTGAAGAAGCAATGTCACACTGGATTTAACATTCTCACAGCGATGAAGATGGCTGTCTTCTAGATTGTAGGACCTAAGAAATGTTAGTAAAGTTCTACCAGACTACATGGTGCTACAACCCACAAGACAGCCAAGCAATGTCACAATCTCATCTTTATGTGTAAATATTTCACTTTATTCCACAAAGAAATATCTCCCGGCTTTCACAGGATGAAGTTTTATTGTATTCTATTTAGAAACTGAAATATGATATCAAAATTCTGTGTATCTCACTCACCTATTGCTGGAGTTGTTGGTACTAGGTGGAGCAGGTGGTGGCTGCGAAGGGCGCTGCGAGGTGGCCCGTGTTCCATTGCTACGACTAGGAGTATGATTGTTTGGCGTAGGGTAACTGTCCCCAGCTACAGGTTGACCCTGTGCATAGTGCTGCTGATAAAGAGATTCTTCACAGCCCACAGGATAATTGGCTCTGCAAAATAAGGAACAGGGTCAAGAATGCACATAAAATGGGCATTCAGTATTTCACTTTCAGGTGCAGCATATTATAAGGAACTCCTTTTCTCTTTATTCTTTTAATATAAATTATTTTGATAACAAAAATGTGGGATTTCACAGTATTTGTAACCAAGCCATGCCTTCATCTCACAACTTACCCTTTTGATAACAACATAAAGTGGTATCATAAATTTAACATAACATGCACTCATCAGACACAATGAAAGAAACTAATTACTTTCACAGTTTTTTATTCACAAATATAACATAACCTCTACATTTAAATTAAAATAAGGGTAAATATGCCTTGTCATATAGCCCAATAAATATGATACTAATTTTCATTCATTAACTAGCTTCTTTTATCCTACCTATAATGGGATTCTGTAGGGCTTTGAGCATGTCGTGGGCTGTAAACTCCAGAGTTACTACTGTAAACCGAGTCAACTTGGTCAGGATAACTTCGGCGCAATTCAATGCTGTTCGGTCTTGGTGGCCGAGGTTCCAACATCCCCATTCCCATGGTTAGAAGTGTTTCATCAGGCTGCTGAACAGGCTAACAAACATAACACAAAAACACATGATGAATACAAACACTGAAATTATGTTATCACTTTCTCTAGGATTGCACAAATGGTGTAGTTTTGGTGACTGTACTATTTGACCAAGCACAAGGCATGAATTACACAACATGTGTTTCAAACACATGTGATACACAATCTGAGAAGTTTTTGGGAATAAAAATACATACTCTGAGAAGCTGCTGGGAATAAAATACAAACTTATATAAATATTTGTTTGCATTTCTAAAAAAACTATTGAATTCATAAGAATATCAGACACACTATGTTATTTTGAAAATTAGACAGAATGTCGCAATCCAGACTTGTTCATACCATACATACTTGAAACCTGTCCCTGAATTAATTATTCAGATCAGAAACTGAGGTGGTAACAGCGTAGCCTCAACATATGACAAGAGTAGCAAGCATCAACAAACAAATTATACATGTGTGAATTCTCCCTGTCTCTCTCTCTCTCACACAAACACACATGCAAGAATGTACATGCACGTACACACCATAAATTTTATGGAACATAAAATTATTTGCAAAAATTCTTTAGCAAACCTAAAGCTGGTAGGTGCAACCTTATCTTATTAGTTTTCTACCATGGCATCTTTTGAAAATCTTAGTTTCCATACATTCAGAACAGTCATATCTCTTCATGGCCCACAGTAACATTCATGCAACCTCTTTCATATGAAACTTTTAAGGCCTTCTCAATAGTTTCCTTAATTTCAGTTCATTCAATACTAGTTGCAGGTACTAGTGCATTACATATGTTATATGTTGTGAACATATAAAAATAAAAGTTTACTAGACTGGCCATAAATACACACACATTTAATTAAGTCCTACTGTAACTTAGTATTACAAGACAACATCAGTGACCAATAAAATGCTGGTACTTTTCAGTTTTCAGGTCTGACAAATACACTTCATTGTTAGTTTTGTAGAAATGATTTCTCGAGGCTGTAATGAGTTTAGTACCTGTGGTGTTCTATAATGAATGTTCTGTGGCATTATATACTCCCCGTGCCCCACCGCCAACTGCCGCTGTCTTTCCCTTGTATTGTGTGGTTGCCGCACTCGCTTCTTATGCCGACCACCTCCTCCTTCATTGCGCGGACGGTGAGGCTGTAATATACATCCAGAAGCATGTTATAATTTATTCTTCACAGTGATATTATGAATAAGAATTTTGAAAACCAGCTTCACTGAATTTTAACATTCTTTTTCTTTCAAGCATCCAATACTCCCCTTGACATCAGGTCTCAATTTACAAAACTGTCTCAGCATTCTTGTGCTTTCCATTTTCTGTATATGGGACAATCATATATTTTTATGATCTCTTACTTCTCAGGAGGTTTTGCAAATTATAACAATTAGAAACAACTGGAAACCAAGACAAATATAGTCAATCACATTTTGAGTAAAGTGTCAGTATACATTAGTGGTTAAATGCAAACCTTAAATTGTGTTAGTTAATGAACACAACTAAGACTGCCAAAAAGTAATACACACACACACACACAGAGTGTTAATCTTGTATAAATGTCTCCAATTTCATACAGAGCAAATTTGAATTTTCTCAAAACCAAGTGAAGATCTGAATTCCGTCAATATACTAGAAGTCAGACCACACGATATTCATGACATGCACTGGTAAGACCCACTACACTTTCTGAATATAAAACAGCAATCACAATGTACACAGTCACTTTCATTTCCATAACTTGCCTCATAGTATGAACCCCCCAACAGCAATGGCTACAACAAATAAATAAACAGCATTTAATGTCATGTTTCCATAGCATCAATACATAAAGTTCACATATAATCACTTGTAAAACACACAACATATACCTTTTTCCCTCGATCATGCATCATTCTTTCTGTATCTTTGAGCATCTCTTGTCGCCACAGGTCAAAGAAGTAATTGGCATCAGTATAAAATTTTAAACCATCTTTACCATCCTCCCTGCAGAAATTAGAGGTATTTTAAAAACATGAAATACCAAATGTGTTATGCAAAAACACAGTTTATAATATGAACAATTAACACTTATCCTTCTCATTCAGATTACTGTATGATGATAAAGGACTTCTAAAATTCTTTTAAGAAAGACTCCATTTTATATTCTGTCCCAAGAATTAAGGTAGAGAGAGTACCATGTTGTAAAAAAATCTCTTGCATGCTTGCATAAATTTCCTTTAAATTTAGAAACCACCTTCAAAAACTAGGAGCCAAAATATATAAAAATTGTAATAATATTTTTGGCATGTTGTTAAAAAATAAAATACTGTTTTCACAAATAATCCCAAAAATAGCTTTTAAAAGATATTATATGGTGCAATTTTGAAAATGTTACATAATAATATGCAAAAATGCAGAAGTACCAAAAAATTTGCAGAAAATTCTAGGCACTAACAAAAAATTTCAGGTGGTGTGGCAGCCTGACAGCCAGAATTTCTGCAAGTCAGTATACTGCCATCTCATTGATAATATCTTTTGTGCCCTATTAGTAAGGTGCTTCCAAAGAAAAAAGGACTAATCAAGATGACTACAGCTTTTCACTTCGTCTTCTTGTAAGCTATAATATCCACAGTGTTAATGCCAATGGAGAAATGCTTTAGAAGTAACACCTTCATACACCCTATCCACTTTTACGTCTATTGTATAATACTCTACACCTTAGTAAAAGGTTTGCGGAAATTGTAGCAGTGAACAATAATTTATACAGAATTCTGTAGTGTGTCACCTGGATTATGTCTGTCTTCATACAACATATTATAACACTTATCAAAATTTACAACTACAATTCAACTACAGTTACTTTTTTATTTAATTTTCTATCATCTGATGTTCTTCCATGTTTAAGACAATTAAATGTGGTGCTGGACACATCATAATGTACACAATACATAATTTTCAGGCAAAATATTCAAACCAACTGCATGTAATGTGGCTAACTACATCAACACATAAAGTTAATTAAATTTTACATGACTGCTTTTGTGTTGTACACATCATGAATTTACTAACCTGTATGAATTCAATTTGTCCAGTGGTGGTGGTTTATCACAAGTTTGGTATGTTTCAAGCATGGCAGTAGGCATGGTATCACGTGAAACTACTTGTTGGTCAAATACTACTGAGCTCTTGAACGCTTTTCTCATATGAATATCTTGTAGAGAAACTGTAAAATGAACCAGGATTATAGCACAATTTCAACAGGCAACTATCCTGCACATAACAATTTTGATTGGCTTGTATACAATTATGGAAATACTTAATGCCCAAACTTCTGCTAATATAACAGCAGTACAAAGATTTTCATCAAACTGGAGTTCACCCATTTTTCTAATGCATTATTCACATTTCTGTACACTTCAACAGCTTTAATAATGATACAATAAAATTCCATTATTAAAATAACTCAAAATAAATACAGAACAATGAAAAAGTTAGCAGCCAAGTTCTTATTTTTATTTTTTACACACACCTTCTTCAACATTACTGTCAAGCTGAGTAACTTTCACAGCTAAACGATCAATGCGAGTCTGCAGAGAATTTGCTCTGGCAGTCAAGCCATGCGCTTCTCGTGCTAATTCTCCGAACAGATCTTCGGCATGGCGACTCAAGCTTGACAACTGCCGCACCGTGTTGGCCAGCGTACCATTAGTGGCTGCCTCCAATTCTGACGGAAGGGGAAAATCTTCTGGTATGGTGCCTCGTGCAACATGCACAGGCTCCACCACGCGTTTTGGCAGCGGCATGCTGGTCAGCACTGTACAATTTCACGACATGACCTAGAACAGAAGACGATTGTATTCAGGTTTAATATGTATTGATGCCAACCTTGTACGGTATACCTGTTCCGCTAAGCGAGTAAATATAAGAAATGCTAGTACAATGACAGCAATCAAAATACCGCGCAACAATAAAATAGACAGACAAGAAACAAGGCCATAAAGGAAGTGAAAGTAAAATTGTCAATGTGCATAAACATCATGTCACGAAGGTGTGTTGGGGTACAGTAAGAGTTGCACCCAGCTTCATGCTCTGACTGCTTTACTACCACAGAAAGACGCAATGATACTCTACGGATAAAAGGACAGGTGAAAACCACAGTGGATCTGGATTTAGTGGCAGAGAGAAAATTCTCTGCCCATGCCAGGAACAGAAACCCTGTCATCCAATGATTGGTCAATCACAGTCATAAAACACTCACATTGGCAACTTCTTTACTTTCTTTCCAATATACTCATTCTATTATATTTTGTATTTCTCTATTATGCACGCATGTTTCTACAGCAAGAGTGGACTTTCCCATTACACAGTTATATGCTAGACATTCAATGTTTGTGGTTCATCTGATGTGTCTAATGAAGGTATACCACGCATACATCTTTATTTTTTTATTCTTGCAATAATAAAACCAGACTTGTATTCACAGGGTCCTGAACATATCAGACTTTGTCACAGTTTAGATATATTTTATTTCCAAAACTTTACTTCTTCCATGTTGTAAATCTGATCTGTTTTTAAATAAAATATTAAGAAGCCAACTGTAGTAAGTGAGCATAAAGTCACTGAGACATGTAAGATTTGAGGTTTTCACAGCGGTGAGTATGGAGATTTCTGTCTTCTGGGTTGTTGCGCTGTGTAGTCTGGTCGATGTTTACAAACGTTTCAGAGGTCATACTGCCTCCGTCTTCAGGGCGATGAGTATGAAGATTTCTGTCTTCTGGGTTGTTGCGCTGTGTAGTCATGAAGATATCCGTCTTCTGGGTTGTTGCACTGTGTAGTCTGGTCGATGTTAACCAACTTTTCAGAGGTCATACTGCCTCCGTCATCATATTCATCGCCCTGATGATGGAGGCAGTATGACCTCTGAAACGTTGGTTAACATCGACCAGACTAGACAGCGCAACAACTCGGAAGAAAGAAATTCACTGATGAGACATACACAAAAGATTCAGTGTGTAATGTGCATTAAACTATTAATGCAAAACACATTAACAGCTTCTTTACAATAAAGCCCACTTTTATTCCCATTACTGGCATCACATTCACTCTGTAACCTTGCACCTTTTTTTAGTCTTCTGTTACATGACACTACAGATGTTATCTGTGACTAATATCATTAAATGTGATGGGCCAGAACACCACACATGTATTTCATTTTCCATGTTCCAACTATCAATGAGACAAAATAGAGAATGAAACAAAATGAAACATTAGAGAATTTTAAAAATAGGCGAATCATTATGGTTAATATAAATGTGAGTGTATCTGGTTCATACAAAGCCACTCTCCACATTGCTGTGATGAAAATGAAAGAAGCACCAGACACTGAGGCAGCTTATAAAATTCAGGGACAAACTTGTTTTCTTTAAAAATGAAGGTCACATAAGTAAATTAAATATATCTTCCGCTTAATATCCTCCTGACTGAACACGATGAATCTAGTTACCCAACCACCTGTTAAAAATTTCTCATGCTGTTCAGTTCCCATACTGCACTTTGGATGACCCCTGTCACTTTCTGAAATCTCTCTCTCAGATATGTTTCAGTTTGTGAACAGACAATATTCCAAGTATAACTTGTAGGTATGTTTACAATCTACACCCATACAAAATTTTAAATACTTTGCTCCAACAGGCCATTAGTTATTGCTGTCATACTGGGAGTTAAAATAAAATTTTCACATAACCACCATGTTGTTTTACATTCCACAAAATGTTGTCTCTAGAAAAGCTGCATATATTAAATGATCTGTACTCATGTAATTTAAAAACCCTACATTATGTGTCACAATTGAAGCAATCATATCATAAGTTTGCACATCCTCTGTGCGGTTATTACCAATTGCAAGAAATTAAAAACAAGCTCGGAGTGCCTTCAAATGGCATGATGTACATACCAACTTCCGAAAAAAATTTACCAAATTGAAAAGGGGGAGATGCACATACAGACAGCATGGTGCATTCATAAGCCTACATTTCATCAAAACATGGAACAACAACAAAAGATAGGTTTTACATTAAGTTGAAGTACTGAATGTATTACAACTATTTTGAATTCAGGAACAGACGTTGCGCATATTACTGTTTCCTAACAAAAACAATCACAAAACAATTACCATATGACTGGTGTTCTACTGTAAATGGTTCCCCTTACTAAGACTTCGTAATCGCCTCTAAAAGTCGTCAAGTTACCATGTTTGTAGCTTCTCAAATCAACAGCAGTGTAGTTTCTTTCAAACAGATAATAAAAATTTCTATGTGCAAAGACAAAAGATGTAGGGGAAACAAACACGGTTGTGGTTTCGTTTTGTCATCCTCCTTCGTTACATAATTGATTCAGGGCAGACCAAAATGCAGTAGATGCTGCTGACTACCCGCTCTGGAGAGATGAGTCACCCAACAGCGCTTTACTCACTGCCGCTATGATCAATACCAGTTTGAGTGGGCAGCTCAGACCGGGCCAACGCGTCTAGACCGGGATGTCGACGTCACCGCCACATCTCCAATTCCAAATTGATTAGTTTCTCAAATACATATCCGGGGTCGTTCAACAAATCTTGTCATGTGTTCTGTCTGGCAAGGCACACGTCATCTGTCTCAGAGGTCCTTTAAACTCACAAACCCAAGAGGCCACACCGAGGCGTGTTTCCTCACCCATTACCAACCAAATGACGCATCCGGAAACTTAAATGTGTGTCTCTTCCATGGGGGACGGGACGTCGGTTAACGTGTGGTTCAGTGTTACGTCGAATGGAGACGAGACAAGAGGAACAACAGAGGCAAATTCTACAAAAAAAAATTTCCAAGTATAAAACAAGACGTGATCTCCAAAAAATGGGTCTTGAAATCTGAAAGTACTCCTTAAACATAGTGTGTCTTATTGAATAAAAATTTCCTTGGATATTATCCATCGTCTAGTAAATATAAAACGTAAAACGACGTTTCGGAGATGGGACTCTATCTCCGTCTTCAGGTTCCTACACAGTTGGGCCCACTAGATAGACCTAATCCCTATCTCCGTCGAATAAAAATTTCCTTGGATATTATCCATCGTCTAGTAAATATAAAACGTAAAAAGACGTTTCGGAGATGGGACTCTATCTCCGTCTTCAGGTTCCTACACAGTTGGGCCAACTAGATAGAGCTAATCCCTATCTCCGGACCTCTTGGATATTATCCATCGTCTAGTAAATATAAAACGTAAAAAACGACGTTTCGGAGATGGGACTAATCCCTATCTCCGGAGATAGGGATTAGCTCTATCTAGTGGGCCCAACTGTGTAGGAACCTGAAGACGGAGATAGAGTCCCATCTCCGAAACGTCGTTTTTACGTTTTATATTTACTAGACGATGGATAATATCCAAGAAAATTTTTATTCAATTGACTCTTCACCATCGTCAAGAAGTTTTAGATTTGATATAGTGTGTCTGAACTATCAGTCATCAGAGAACAAGCTCGGGATTTCCTACGCAGTGTAATAAACACATGAACTTATGTCAATGACATATTTTGTCACCACACCCGCTGTTGTAACGGAATGTCTGGGTTATCATTGGTTATCAGAGAACTAACAACTGGGCCCAGTCTAATCAAGAATGCCAACATCATCCTTTCACTTTTCAAATACTGCGTCAAAAATTAAAGTGAAGCTGCACCTTTTTAACCAAAACACTGCCAAGAGAAGAAGGAAGTTCCTCCAAAACGATGATAATCTACAAGACTACATGGCGTCAGAGCAAAAAATATAGCAATTTACATTTCACCGCATTGAGAATGTTAAGTTTCTTTACTCTCATACCTCAAATCGGTGTACTGCTGGTTTACGGGAAATTATAAACTTTTACCGAACATGGTTTTATTACCTTCCCAATTACTTTTTGCTTTTATTATATTCCGGAAGTGACAGCAAAGACCGAAGGATTTGGGGAATGGTTGGCATAAGAATTGATCAAATCTCGAGAAAAATATAATCATGTAGGTTTGTCTACTCGGCTATGGTTTTCCTCAGTTCTTGGAAGAAAGAACATTCTTGAAGTAGTCCATAATTTGTTCTTCCTCCGTCCCTACAGTCTAATACACGTGTATACTACATTCGCCATAAATTCTACTACGACAGATAACCAATCCATTTGTTAAGAGTTTCCGTTCTCAATTCTATTTACAGATAACATTTGCAATCCATTTCTGATTTGTCAAATATTTATTTGTTAATATTTCTTACCATAACTTGAATTTTATCGGTATCTTATGTTTTCCAAGTCTCACTTATATACACATACGATTCAGGTGTGTCACAAGCGAAGGAAATCCTAGTTTCTTACAAACCACAGCCTCATACTTGCATTGCGGCTTCTCTTATCACACAATGTGGGCGAATAGGAAGAACGAGTTGTTTATAATCCTACTAGAGTTAATATAAATTTACGTCCAGATGTTCAAGCTCTCTCCCTACGTAACAGATCTGCTCTCCTTCACACAAGACCAATGTAACATCCTGAATTTTTGACACGGACAAACCCGTTGTAAACCTCACCCGCCCCATAATCTGCTCACTACAAAACGTCAATTGTTACAAGCTCAGTACATACACATTAATACAACACTGCAACCCACATCGCCAACTGATACTCCTATGAGTATAATACGGCATCGATAATGTTAGTGTACATAGGTCAATCAACACGTGGGATCATTTCAGATGATTAATCATCCAATACTAGCAGTACAGAAAACAAGAGGATCAGGGACTTCGATTGATGGCTTCCTTTTATCGAATGA